AGGGGCAACCGGGACAGAATCCGGCGCCCTGACCGGGCCTAGAACCCCGGGGTGCCAGCGCCACAGGCGGAGGATTAGCCAAGTGAGCCTCGGCACCGCCTTGATATATTCTTGTCTGCAGTTCCATCAGTTTCTGATTCATGTGTTTTTATTTTTATTTATTTATTTGCAGAGAGGGTAACAGAGATCTTCCATCCACTGGTTAACTCCCCAGATGACCAGGGCTGGACGAGGACAAAGCTGGGAGCTAGGAGTTTGGGTCTCCAGATGTGGGTAGCAGGGGCCCAAATGCTTGAGTCATCTTCTGCTTTCCCAGGCCATTACAAGGAACTGGATCGGAAGTAGAACAGCCATGACACGAATGGACACGCATATGGGACACCAGCATCACTGGCAGTGGCTGTTCCTGTTAAACCACAGCACTGGCCTGCTTCATATATTTTATTTTATTTTATTTAAAGCTTTATTTATTTTATTTGAAAGGCAAAGTTACAGAGTGGCAGAGGCAGAGAAAAAGGGGTGTTCCATCCACTGGTTCACTCCCCAAATGGCCACAATGACTGGAGCTGTGCCTGTCTGAAGCCAGAAGCCATGTGGGTGCCAGGGTCCAAGCACTTGGGCCATCTTCTACTGCTTTCCAGGCCATCGCAGGGAGCTGGATTGGAAGTGGACCAGGCCATCGCAGGGAGCTGGATTGGAAGTGGAGCAGCCAGGATTAGATCCGGTTTCCATACGGGTTGCCAGCACTGCAAGTGACAGCTTTACCTGCTGCTATGCCACAGTGCCAGCCCCTCATGGTCGGTCGGTCTTTCTTTCTTTCTTTCTTTCTTTCTTTCTTTCTTTCTTTCTTTCTTTCTTTCTTTCTTTCTTTCTTTCTTTCTTTCTTTCTTTCTTTCTTTCTTTCTTTCTTTCTTTTTTTTTTTTTTTACAGGTAGAGTGGACAGTGAGAGAGAAAGAGAGAGACAGAGAGAAAGGTCTTCCTTTGCCATTGGTTCACCCTCCAATGGCCGCCGCAGCCGGCGTGCTGCAGCCGGTGCACCGCGCTGATCCTATGGCAGGAGCCAGGTACTTCTCCTGGTCTCCCATGGGGTGCAGGGCCCAAGCACTTGGGCCATCCTCCACTGCACTCCCTGGCCACAGCAGAGAGCTGGCCTGGAAGAGGGGCAACCGGGACAGAATCCGGTGCCCCAACCAGGACTAGAACCCTGTGTGCCAGCGCCGCAAGGCGGAGGATTAGCCTAGTGACCCGCGGCACCGGCCATGTTTTTTAATATTATGTAATTAGGTTAAGGTGCATTTATAATTATGGCTTCTTGATTAATTGACCGTTTTATGAATTTAATTGTCCTTTTTAAAAATCAATTTTTTGGGCAGCAAGACAACCAGACAGAGCTCCTATCACTGCTTTACTCCCTGAATGCGTTCAGTGCCCAGGCCAGTGCCAGGGGCTGGGAGTTCAATCCAGGTATCCCTTGCAGATGGCAGGAACCCAAAAACTTGAGCCATTACTCTTGCTTTTCATAGTGACATTGGTGGGAAGCTGGAGTTGAGACTGTAGCTGCGAAGCAAATCCAGGCATTTTTATTTAAGTTGAAAGCATTCCCCCTCCTTTTTTTTTTTTTTAATGCTTTGTTTTATTTATTTGACAGAGTTACTGAGAAAAAGGAAGAGATTAGAGAGAGATCTTTCATTTGGTGGTTCACTCCCCAAATTGTTGCTACAGCCGAGGGTGGGCCAGACCAAAGCCAAGAGCCAGACTCTTCATCCAGGTCTCCCACATAGATACAGGGTCCCAAGAGAGTGGGCCATCCTTCACTGCTTTCTCATGCCATTAGCAGGGAGCTGGATAGGAACAGGAATAGTTGAGCCACAAACTGACACTCATGGGATGCTGACGCTATAGTCAGTGGCTTAACCTGCTGTGCCACAGCACTGGCCACAGGATGGAAGCATTCTTAACTCCTAAGGCCAAACTCCTGCCCCATCTGAAATATCTTTTTTCATCTGTGGCAATATTGGCTGTCCCAAAGTTAGTTTGTCTGATGCTAATAATCAGCCCTTTTCTTTATTTATAGTCTTTTAATTGGTCTAGACAATTTTGTGTTCTGAGTGTGTTGGGGCTGGAAGTCATACTTGTTTGGATATAGTGTTCTAGCAGTAAGTTGGTGTGCCCAGTTTTTATATATTTGTTTATATATATATATTTAATTGAAAGGCAGAGCAACACGGGTGCACACGCGCACACACACACAGAAATAGAGAGAGCACACTTCTATCTGTTGGTCCACTCCCCACGTGCCCACAGCAGCCAAGGCTAAGCCAGGACCCAGGAATTCCATCCAGGTCTCCAGGCTGGTGGCAGGGGCTCAATACTTGAGCTATTGTCTGCTTCCTTCTGGGTGTTCTAGTACAGGATGCAGGTGTCCTGTGTGGCGACTTTGCCTGCTCTTCCTGGTTTGCCTATTTTGTAGTATGTTGAGGTGTATTCCTTTGTCACGTGGCTTATGTGGTATCTGACAACAAATGAAGCTGGTGTTATAATCGTTTCCCGGTATTGAATGTGCCTCCTATTCAAGCAGAGGAGCAGGTAGAGAGAGATCTCCTGTACACTGGTTTGTTCGTCACATACCTGCCACTGTGGGGCTGGACCAGGCTCGACCGGGCTGGAGCCAGAAGGTCAGAACACAGTCCCTCCTACTCAGGAGCAGGGACCGAAGTACTTTAGCCAGCACGTGATGCCTCCCAAGGTGTGCATTAGCAGGAAGCTGGAGTTGGGAACAGATCTGAGACTCATTCTGATAAAGGATGCTGGTGCCATCCCAAGTAGCCTCTTTACCACTGTGGTACTCAACTCACTCCTGGTTGCTTTTAAGTATTCTCTGTATCAGTGGCTCTCAGAAATTTGACTAGGAAGAGCCTTGGTGTGGTGTCCTTTGATTTTGACCTTTGTAGATTATTGAAGTAGCAGAAAGACAGAAAGTCACATTAATACAGAGGACTGTCATCTGCTTGTTCACCCGCTGAATGACCACAACTGTAGGAGCTGTGCTGGACCGGGCCAGGCCAAAGCCAAGAATGCAGTCCAGAGTGTGTCCTGTATGGGCGACAGGAATCCAGTTACTTGCATCACTGTACACACCTAGGGTCTGCTTTATCGAGATGCTGGGCTACAGATCTGGGGCTGGGAATCAAACCTAGGCATGCAGATGTGGTGGTTTTTTTTTTTTTTTTTAAGATTTATTTATTTTGAAAAGCAAAGTTACAGAGAGAAAGGGAGAGACAGAGATCTTCCACCTGCTGGTTCGCTCTCCAGATGGCTGCGGAGGCTGAAGCTGGCCCGGCAGAATCCAAAGTCCAGGAATTCTACGTGGGTCTCTCTCATGTGTGGCAGGGGCCCAAGTACTTTTGCCGTCCTCCACTACTTTTCCAGGTGAATTATCAGGAAGCTGCATCAGACGTGGAGCACCTGGGGCTGGAACCAGCACTCATACAGGATGCCTGCATTGTGGCTTAACCATATCGTACCACCACAATGCTGGACCCCTGATGTGGGTCTTAACTGCCAAGGCCCCCCCCCCCCCTTTAAATTTTATTTATTTGAAAGGCAAAGTTAGAGGGACAGAGTGACAGGACAGATCTTCAGTCTGCTGGTTCACTCCCCACAGTGGCCACAAGAGCCAGGGCTAGGCCAAGCCAAAGCCAGGAGTTTCATGCTAGTCTCCCATGTGAGTGCAGGGGCCCATCTTCCACTGCTTTCCTAGGCGCATTAGCAGGGAGCTGGATTGGAAGCAGAGCAGCCAGGACTCGAATTGGAGCCCATATGGGATCCTGGTGCCTCAGGCAGCAGCTTTACCTGCTATAGACAGCGCTGGCCCCCTGATGTGGGTCTTAATTGCTAGGCCATTTTTTTTTAAAAAAATCTTCGTTTATTTTCATTTACTTGAAAGGTAGAGGAAGAGTGAGTGAACAAGAGAGCTGTCTTCCATCCTCAGATTCACTCCCCTGAGTCTCCCCACTGACAGGGGGTGGTAGGCTGAAGCCAGGAGCCCAGGACTCCATCTAGGTTTTCTGTGTGGGTGGCAGGGGCCCAAGCACTTGAGCCATCACCTGCTGCCTCCCAGGGTCCATCAGCAGAGGATCGTAAGCCACTTTTCTGCACATCTAATTTTGGCTGGGGTGTTGGACATTTCAAACGTTGTATTGTTGAGTATTGAGACGTTTGCTGCTGTCCTGTAAAGAATGCCAAGGTTTTTTGGGCAGGAGGTGTTGAGGGTGGATCCAAGGCTCCCTCAGACTTCCTAGGAGGGCTCCCTGCTCTTGGAGGGTTCGTTGTTCGACCCAGGTGGTGAAGAGGTGGGCAGATGGAGCTGGAACAACTCTTTTCAGTCTGTGCTTTCTCAGAATTCTTTCTATGCAGACTTGTGCTTGGCCAGAGCCTTAAGCCCACCTGCCCTGAGACTTTGGGCATCATGTCTGCCACCCCCAGGGGCCCCCTCCTGCTGCGCTGTGTTGCACAGTCAGCCTCACTCCCCTCCCCGACTTGGTGAACACAGGGGTGTTCTTGGCTCCTGCTCCATGTATCGTCGTCCAAAGCCTGCTGTTGGGGTGACCGCGGGGCCTTCCTGTCCCTGGTCCGTCCCTAGGTCTCAGAGACCCGTGCTTTGTGCCTCTCCGGTCTCTGAATCCAGGGTTCTTGAATTTTGTCCCATTTTCGAGTTCCATGAGAGCAGCACAGGTCGTGTGCCACTTAGTACTCTGTGGCTAGGGTGGCCACTCGTTTCTTCATGGTTTTTGTGAGTGTGATTCTGGTTCTGGGTTTTCGTGGCCCATCTGGGGCTGAACTGGGACGCGTGCCCCTTGTCCTCCCGGGACCTCCTTGGGTCTCCTTTCAGAGAGTTAGCAACGGTTCTTAGGCGTGGGCTGTTCGCAGTTAGCTTCTTCATGTGAATTCTGAGCTGTTGGATGCAGTTTTCCTTGACTGTAACTCGCCTCTCTTCCAGGCCATGCTGGAGTGTCTGCCAACATGATGAAGAAGCGGACGTCCCACAAGTAAGCCGTTCTGAAACCTGCTTTTGGATCGCATGTTGGGCCCTGGGGCAGCTGGCGTGTGGGGTCACTGAGGAGGCTGAGGGAGGGGTTCTCGGCTCAGCAGCCCCGCGCCTGGCGAGTCACTGTGTGCAGTCACGCCCCCTGGCTGCAGGGAGCCGGCTCTGCCTTTCACCCTGAGAAGCCTCTGGGTCATGACCCCCTTCCTGTGTGCTGGGAGCTGGCCAGCTGTGGGAGAGTGGCAGGCCCGAGGGCACGTCTCCTGCCTCTCCTGGGTTGGGTCTGCTGTTGGATAAGGAGCTCCTCTGGCGCTGAGACCATTTCTTATGTGGGGCGGGGCTCCCAGCATCTGCCACCCTTGCTGCTTTGTCATATTTTTACCTGAGTGAAAACCCTGTAATGTAGGGAAAGCGTCTGCATGTCAGAGGAGAATGCAGTAGCCATGCATGTAAAAAGATGGCTCCACCCTGTGTTCTCTAGGCACCAGAGGACAGAAACTGCTTTCTTCCCCAAAGGAATTGCTTTTGGCTGACATAGTTGGATCCAGAACAGAGAACTGAGATGTTCTCTTCATTGTAACAGTCCCACGTACATCTGCTAGCACAGCCCCAGCCTCCCTGGGTCCGCGTCGTGCCCTGGTGACGGTGCCATGGCGCTGACCGTGTGGGTGGTGTGAGTCTCCTTAGTCGTGGAGAAAGCACTCAGACCCGACAGGTGTTGGTTTCAGATGATTCATGTGGACACTTCTGCCCCTTCGTCTCGGCGCTGGTGGCTGAAGACAGGAGTCGTGGCTGCCGAGGAAGGTCTGGACAGATAGGGCTGTTGTGATTGTGGTTGAGCCAGAGAGTTCTTGTTGGAATGGATACAGGATATTCACTGTAGATATTCGTGGTAATCCGCTGGTGAAACAGCAAGTAAAAATGCAAAGGTTAAGTAAGTATGCCTGCTTCCCCGAGGTTTCAAGTGTTTCTCAAATATCACTGATTTGCTCCTTAACCTTCATGGTTTTGCCATATCCAGGAATTTGATAATGTATGCGATAGATGTCCCATCATTATCATGTCAGTGTCTTAAGTGGCAAGCCATCGCTTGCTACAATTGAAAGATAACAATAAAATGAAAATGTCTGCCTTAACTATAAAGTAATAATAAAAATACAGTGGATTGGGGGTAAAAGTTTAAACCTCAAATTTGCAGAACCAAACAGTTCATTTCACGTAGATTGACCGCTTAAGTTAAACAGAGGCTTTAAGCATATTAACATGCAATCTGTTTTAGAGATTTTTACATATTTTCAGTAATCACTTACGATTAAAGTTCATTTATTGAGAGTTTCAGGCGTTGATAGTTTTGAGCCTTTGGATATATTATTCGTAGATTTAGTGCAAGGGATATTCTCTGTGCCTCAGTTTTAAGTACTACTGTTTGTCATCTCATGGGTTGGATTCCCCAAAACAAACACACACTTATTAAAAAGCTATAAGGTTCACATATATAACCGCTGAAATAATCTTGTCCGGTATGTTTCTCATTTCAGGAATTTCATTTAGTGCATTAACAGGTGTATTTGTTTCTAAAACTTGTTCATTACTATGCAGCAGAAGGGGGTAGTTGATATGAAGGGAGGAGTTATCCCATTTTCATAGCTTTGCTTTCTCAGTGCACATCTGAGTATTGCTAGAAGGAAAAGAGACTGAGAGAAACACTGACATACGATGGTCATTAGCATCTTCCAGATGTGCAGAGCTCATAGGCGTTTTACTCTCCCAGGGTGGATTGTAGTGGAGCAGTGAAGCTGTCAGGTTTTCACCAGATAGCCCTTTTTTTTTTAAAGATTTATTTCTTTGAAAATCAGAGTTACACAGAGAGAGCGGAGAGACAGGGAGAGTGAAAGAGAGCGGTGTAGAGAGGGGTCTTCCATCCAATGGTTCACTCCCCAATTGGCCACAACGGCCGATTGCTGCACCAATCCAAAGCCAGGAACCAGGAGCTTATTCACCTGTGTGGGTGCAGGGGCCCAAGGACTTGGGCCATCTTCTGCTGCTTTCCCAGGCTGCAGCAGAGAGCTGGATTGGAAGTGGAGCAGCCATGATTTGATGGCACTCATATGGGATGCCGGTGTTGCAGGCAGCGGCTTTACCCACTGCACCACAGCGCCAATCCCTTTTTCATAACTTAAAAAAGTATTTTTAAGATAGTATAATGAAAAAACAGCAGTTTGGAACAAAAGCTTTCATTTCAGTGGAAGTAGCCAGAGAAACTTTTTTTTTTTTTTTTTAAGATTTATTTATTTGAGAGGTGGAGTTACAGAGAGAGGGAGAGGGGGAGAGCTGTCTGCTGGTTCACTCCCCAGATGGCTGCAGTGGCTGGAGCTGAGACAGTCCAAAGCCAAGAGGTGCTTCCAGATCTCACACACATCGGTGCACACTCGTGCACATCGGTGCTCTTGGGGCCATCTTCCTCTGCTTTCCCAGGCCTTAAGCAGAGAGTTGAATCGAAGGAGGAGCAACTGGGACACAAACTGGCCTCCCTAGATGAAGTTTTTTAGTTTTCTCTTTTAAAGAATTATTTTATTTATTAGAAAGAGGTAGAGAGAGAGAGAGCGAGAGCGAGCTTCCTCCCAGTGGTTCACTCCCCTGATGACCCCAATAGCTGGAGGTGAGCTGATCCGAAGCCAGTAGCCAGGAGCTTCTTCTTGGTCTCTTGCTTTCCCAGGTGAATTAGCAGGGAGCTGGATTGGAAGTGGAGCAGCTGGGACTGAAACCAGCACCAATTTGGGATGCTGGTGCTGCAGGTTGGGGCTTTAACTCACTGTGCCACAGCGCTGGCCCCAGTGAGTTTTCCCTTTTTTGCTGAGGATTTTTGGTTGCCTTTAGTGTTGTTTCAGATGGGGAAGAAAAAGTATAGGTTTTGATTAATTATAGATTTAGTAGAAAAATCTAAACTAGGGCATGATATTTAGAAAGTTAATGGTACTTTTCAAGACTAGAAATGCTACATGGCTTCTTTAGAATCGTCATTTAGTGCAAAGAAGCCTCTGTCATTCCAACTCTACAGATAAAGGAAGAAAGGGAGGTGAAGAAATGAAAATAACTGGCAAATAGAAAACAGAAAGCAAGATGTTGAGAATAAGACCAGGAACATATCATAGCAAGAGATGAGTATTCAAATTCTCTTGCTAAAAGCTGAGGAAACAATCCACCCAGAAGGAAGGATTGTGCATCTTTAGGGTTAAAAGACAGCAGGAGCAGCTTAAGTGGCACTGGAGCTGGACAGTCCCAGCCCCTTGGAGTGCTTGCATTGGAGGTGACTGCATGAAAGCAGCGTATTTGAAATGTTGACTAAAGGCATTTTCAAGCATTACCAGGACCCACCGCAGATAGTCTCCATTTACAGAAGAATGCTACTACTAAGTTAGAGAAGGGACAGCGCCCAGATCTGGAAATCTGTCATTGTCTAACTCTATAGTGGTTTTGTTGAAAGTGCCAGAAAATTTTATTATCTGAATTTAGCAAAGAGTCTTAGCTGGTTGTCAGAAGTCTCCAGAGAAATAGCCAGTAGAACAGGCAAGCATGCCTGTGTTTGTGTTTCGAGCTTGGTTGATTGTAGGGAACTGGCTACTCAGAGTACATGGGTTTGAATGTTTGTTAACTCCAACTGCAAAAGTACTGCCATAATGGCATCTACATAGGTGTTTGACACAGTGGTGTCAAACCACAATGGTGAAGATGCTGTATTGGCTTATAATTTGGGTAGTAATGGAATGCTTTTGTAAATTAAAAAATGATACATAGGATTGATTGCTTTCCCCAGTGAGGTCTTTAAGCTAGTCTTAGCCTTTGCTGTGTGAAGAAAGCCTAGTCGTGCTCGCAGGATGAATTACTGAGTCTTCTGCGTAAAGATCAAGAGGAGATAAGTAATTGGTTATGTCTTTGAAGAAAAATGTGTTGGCCATGTTGTCCAGGTGGAGTCTAGTGATTATGAAGATGTTGAGAAATCCAGTTTCTCTTGGTTCTTCGATTGGTTCGGTGGTTACAGGTTACAGACTTACAGACTTGACAGTGCTTGACCACTGTTAGGAAACGTCTGGCCAGTGGGTTACATGAGGCCCAGGAAATCATTTGGTCTGGCGCTGCCAAGTCAACTGCAGGTGGGACTTGAACTCCAGTACGTTTATAGTAGGCTAAATTTTAAAGTTGCTAATTTTGTATGGCCTGCAAATGATATTATAAATATCCAAATGGGCCTTGACAGAAAAAAGGTTCCCACCCCTGCACCCTTTTCCTGTGCATGTTGACATTGTAGTCTTCATTCACTCTTCAGGCGATGGGTCTTGGTTTCTTATTGTGAACAGGTCTGACTGTAGCTCTTGGTCCTCTCCACCTAATGTGAGGCAATACTCACTGCCTCAAGTTTTATAAGGAAGTCAGTCTGCGTATTCTGCTGTTGATGTTTCCTCCTGCCTTTGAGAGTTAGACTTAAATCTGTACCATCAGAGCAGAGGGCAGGTGCACACTGTTGTGTTTCCCAGGTGCCCCCGGCTGTCCTGATTAAACACGCCCATTTTCTCCTGGCAGCCCTCTGCTGCTTCTGAGGCTCATGGTCCGTGTTCCTACCCGTAGGTCAGTGTACTGTTCTGCCAGTTGTAGAATCTGTGGCTCCAAGTTTCTCTCTCCTGAGAGCCATTAGTTTGCCTCTCTGTTGTCCAGCACCCAGGATGCTGTCACATGCTGATTTTCTTATCCTTACACATGATTTGATCATTTTGCCTGAATTCCCAAAGAATGTTATTTCCTTTAACATCTATTTGTTTTACTGGGATATGTCTTAGTCATTCTGAGTCTGTTTTCCAAGGGGATAGACGCATTTGTTCAAGTGTTTTATTTCAGGAAAATTTCCTTGAATTGATATTTTTTTTTAGTACTTTTGGGTTGCTTTTTAAAATTTATTTGAAAGAGTCACACAGAGGAGAGGCAGAGAAAGACAGAGGTCTTCCATCCACCGGTTCACTCCCCAGTTGGCCGCAATGGCTGGAGCTACGCGATCTGAATCCAGGAGCTTCTTCTGGGTCTCCCACGAGGGTGCAGGGGCCCAAGGACTTGGGCCATCTTCTATTGCTTTCCCAGGCCATAGCGAGAGCTGGATTGGAAGTGGAGCAGCTGGGTCTCGAACCGGCACCTGTATGGGATTCTGGCACTGCAGGCAGCAGCTTTACCTGCTATGCCACTGTGCTGGCCCCTAGTCTTTGCTTTTTAATTGCCAGTTGTTTCTTCACCTTTTCTGTTTTCTGCTTGTCTTCTTTAGCTGTATCCTTTGTGAACTTTTTTGTAAGGGGTTCCCCTCTGCCTTCCCTCCAGGACCTCCAGCTTGACTAAATGTACATAACAAGTCTAGAATGAGTTATCCCTTATGTATGTTTACAACCTGCACTCAATTTTTTTTTAAGCTTTTTGGGTTACATGCTGAGCATTAATCACGTTTACTCATGGTGTACCAAATGGGGGTTTTATGCCCGCGAAACTGTGGGGAGGGAATTCTTTTTAGCTCCCTTAACTGCTTAGTTCTTGTCATGTCTTAGTATCCAGTGTGTTGGTTTTGGCCTTCAACTTGCCAAAATCTTGTCCCTTATCTTTGTGTTTCAAGGTGAAATGAAGATTTTCCTGATACCAAGAGCCAGGTGTCTTTTTTGTAAGCATTATATGTAGAAACAATGTACTTTTGATGTTGCTCAGATAATTTTTAATAGTACATTCAGCATTTGTTATAAACAAGTTAACTTAGTTAAGTGCTTAATAATACGCTTCCTGGATAAGTAATGGTTGCCTGATATATTGATAATAAGCCAGCCTCAACTCCAGTTTAAGAAAAACTCATATATATGTAGTATATTCTTACTGTTTCTGCCAGCAGAGCATCAGAATGGATAGCGTTGAATAGCTGTACATTTATCTTTTACTTGAAATGGATTCATGTAAAGCTGTAGGTATATGTAATTACTGGTATAATCAATTTCATTTGGTCACCCTTTCCTTTTCCTTAACTTGGGTGATTCTGAATTGATTGAATTAAAAGAAGCGTGAAAGCTGGGAAGCTGATGCCTAATGGTAGGGCTTAAATTGCTACTGACTAGTAGTTTGTTTCTGCCTGTGCACAGTTCAGACACAGAGTCTCCTGTTACTACTGCCTCATGCTGCGTGCTGGGAAAGGCGAGGTCTTCCTTGCAAGCACCACTGCTATGGGGTGGGAGCATGCTAGCCAGTCGCCACATTGGATCGAGGCCTGCGTACCTGTGAGATAATGCCTTGTGTGTGTGTGAATACAGAAAACACCGGAGCAGTGTGGGGCCCAGCAAACCTGTTTCCCAGCCCCGGCGGAACATCGTAGGATGCAGGATTCAGCATGGGTGGAAAGAGGGGAATGGCCCTGTCACCCAGTGGAAAGGAACCGTCCTGGACCAGGTGCCTGTAAATCCTTCTTTGTATCTTATAAAATACGATGGATTTGACTGTGTTTATGGACTAGAACTTAATAAAGATGAGAGAGTTTCTGCACTTGAAGTCCTCCCCGATAGAGTTGGTAAGTTCTTTTTACTACTTGTGGATTATAAGCTTTAAAAGTGATATTGAAGTGGATATGTTTTGATTGCTCCTTCAACATTATTGGTATATTTTATTTTTATTTTTACTGGAATACAAGCACTCTTGATGAACATTTAAGTCATTAACCTAAAACCACGAACATTGGTACCAAGCAGATATTCTGAAACAACAGCTGCAGGAACTCTGATGGATGTAAAGATATATCCCATCCCATGTCCCCTCCCCAAGGAGTTTACAATTTAATTTGTAGTGTTTTTACTCACTGTTACTCGGACAGTGATGGGTAGGATGACTTATTATCTAATATCCTATGTGTTGAATTCTTAAGAGAAATCTAATTAAACACTTTAGGATCTTTATGTGAAGTATATGTCTTTCATTGTGTATTACATAAATGATCACTGTTTGCTTTGGGCCAAAATTTAAGCCACCAAAACATGGGAACTTTAGTGTTTGTCTTTAATTTCTTAGGGTTTGTTTGAACAATGTTTGTGGAAATCAGTGTCTTTTTTATGTCATAGGGTGCCAGTTTTGTCTTAAAATATTCTTATATGAGGTCCATGTTTAATAACTGTTGATTTTATTTTTAACACAATGGGATACACCTAAGTTAATTTTACTTTCTTCAGAGTGCTTCTTTGAAGTGTTTTTTATTATAGCGTTGCTGCTATTGCTTAAAATATTGATACATGCTTTTTGAAATTGTTTTTAAAAGTGTTTGCCATTAAAACAAAATTTCATCAGATGGAGATGGAGGGTGGGGATGTGGGGATCAAATTGTGAAAGTCAGAAACTAATGCAGCCCCTTCCCTTCTTTTTCGTTAGACATGACCATTGCATTTTCGGGGCTTAAGCATGTCCTCAACAACTTAACTCTCCTTAGCAGCAAGTTGTTTTATTAATCCTTTCTTTCTTTGTCAAATGCTAAATCACTGATCATTCTTTATAAACATTGTTCAGTTTTCACAGAAATCTTTGTGGGTTTGACATCTTTCACATTTTTCTCTGTTTTCAAGTGTGCTTGCATGCCTGTCTTTCTCTTGTGTACGTCCTGATCTCTTGGTCTTGATAGCAACCCATTTCTCACATCAGAAATTTTAGCATACTAAGACTCTTGCAGGGCTTAGTTTAAGAAGTGTTATTCAGGGGCTGATGCTGTAATGCATTGGGCTAAGCTGCTGCCCACATGCCAGTATCCCATATGAGTGCCTGTTCAAATCCTGGCTGCTCTACTTTTAATCCAGCTCCTTGCTAATGTACCTGGGAAAACAGTGGAGGATGGCCTAAGCACTTGGGCCCCTGCACCCACATTGGAGACCCGGAAGAATCTACTAGCTCCTGGCTTCAGCCTGACCCAGCCCCAGCCATTTGGGGAATGAACAAACGGAAGATCTCTCTCAGCTTCTCTCTTTGTAGCTCTGCCTTTCAAATAAATAAATAATAAATAAATAAAATCTTTAAAAACATATAGCATCCAAAGACTTTATCACTTTTGCTAAATAGTTGACATTCCTTTTTCTGACACAGAATTTTAGTTTGCACCCCTCCTATGGCAAGATCTCTAGCTCACCTGAACCTTCATGCATGTTGCCGTGTGACCTGTTCTGGTCAGTCCTTTTGTCTTCACAGGCTGAAGAAGTATACCAGAATCTCTAATGATAGCATCAGTGGTGCCATAATGTGCTTTGTAGTTTTGGGTTATCCAAGTTTCTAGTGGTAGATGTGAATTGCTTCTGTAGACAGTAAGCCAGTCTTTAAAAAGGAATCCAAAAGCATCTGCAAATTGAGTCCTTACTGTGTGCCTGCTTCAGTTAAGAAACCAGCCTTCCCTGTCTTGTTTTCAGGTAGTGTATTAGACAGTTACAATTGTTTTTCTTAAGCTAAAGTTACAGAACAAGTTAAGTGAGCCAGCCAAAGCGTGTGTGGTGTCAAGGAGCAGTGGTTTCCCAAGCAAGATCTTGGGACCCCTCGGATTCCCTGAAGCCCATTCAGGAAGTTTGCAAGCAAAATGCACTCATGCTACATCATATCAGATGCAATTTTATCTGCTTTCCTCTTAATTCTCTCAGAGTTGCACAGTGGAATTTCCACTGTTTGAAAGATGTTTCTAACTAAGCAAACACCATGATTTCTGTGTGAGCAGTGTGTGATGTTAGTGAATCATACATTGGTATAAGATCCATTTAAGATATGAAGTTGACCATTTCTTTAAACTTGTGGTAAAACAGAATTTATTATTTTTTAATGTTTTAAGTACAGTTACAATAATGTTACACAGAGGTACTTCAAACATTTCATGGAAATGCATTTTATGAAAAACTGAAATGAGTCTCAAAGGTTTTTCTTCAAAATAAGCTTTTAATTCCATTTTCCATGAACTTTTGAAAGTACCCACATACGTTGATGTTGTTGTGAAGCAAATCTCTAGAACTTCCCATCTTGTAAATCTGAAATTCTGTGTGCATTAAGCAACACTTCCTTCTTCCCTCTCTCGACCTGCTGGCAACTACTTATTTTTGTCTCTGAGTTTCACTACTCCAGGGACTTGATAATTATAATCACTTGTTTGTATTTTTCTTCTTGTGACTGGCTTGTTCAGAATTCTCTATCCTTTTAAGGATGAAAAATAATAATCCATTGTGTGTGTGTGTGTATGTGTATACACACACACACACACACATATATATATATAATGCATTTTGTTTATCCATCTGCCCATTGATGGACATTTGGGTTACTTCCATCTCTTAGTAGAATATACAATTGTGAGAAGTGCTGCCTAAACATCTCTTTGAGATTCTGCTTTCAATTTTGGGTATATAAGAAGTTGGAGTGCCAGATTATGTGGTAGTTCTAGTTTTAATATAGTAACTTTCAATTCTGTTTTCTAAACAGACTGCTGTAGTGTTTTCCTGGGCAGTTGCACCATTTTGCAGTCCCAGAAATAGTGCACCAAGAGTTCTAATTCTGCATCTCCTTACCTGTATTTGTATTATTATTGTTTTTTTTTTTTGGTTGTAGCTATCCTAATTAATGCAAAGATGGTCCATTGTGGTTTTGATTGCATTTCTCAGATTACTGATACTGAGCATCTTTGTTTGTGCTTAGTGGCCATTTGTGCATCATCTTTGGAAGAAATGTCTATTCTGGGTTCTTTCTTTGATAATTTTTTTGATGGAGCTGTTTGGTTGTTGAATTTAGGAGTTCTTTTTTCTGGTGAGAAATGATTTCATTATGACAATTTTATTGATAATGATTTCAGATTCTGTATTGCAACTAACCTTGTTGAATTTTGATACAGTTTTATAGAAGAGTATCAACAGTTTTTGCAAGACAACTAGATTACTCTTCATTTTCAACTGCATGTCTTTATAAGGCTGGATTTTATGTATCAATCAGAAGAACAGATCATTATAAATTGCTGAAGCAGATGAGAAAATCTAGCTGGTTTTTCAAGCTAGACATTAAGAGATTTGAAAAAATATAGAAATGCAACTCCTCTACAAAATTTTTCTGAGAAAGAGTTCTGAAATCTAGTATCCTGTATCTGTTGGCTTGAAGAAACTAGTAGGATTTTCTGTAGTGTCATGCAGAGAAGAGGAGGTTGGAAGGAGAGATAGAGACCAATCTTATATCCGCTAGTTTACTTCCCAAATGGCCACAGTGGGCCAGGCAGGAACTCCATTCTTTTTTTTTTTAAACATTTATTTTTTATTTATTTGAAAGCACTACAGAGAGAGGTAGAGACAGAGGTCTTCCATCTGCTAGTTCACTCCATAGATGGCTGCAATGGCCAGAGCTAAGCCTATGCAGAGCCAGGAGCTCGGAGTTTTTTCTGGGTCTCCTACGTGGGCCCAAGGATTTAGGCTATCCTCTGCTGCTTTCCCAGGGGCATTAGCAGGGTGCTGGATGGGAAGTGGAGCAGCTAGGACTTGAGCCCCGGCCCATATGGGATGCTGGCACTGCAGGCTGGGGCTTTACCCACTGTACCACAGTGCTGGCCCCCCAGGAACTCCTGTTCTCCCACATGGGTGGCAGGGTCTCTAGGTATTTGAGCCATCTTCCAGGTGCCTTTTCAGGAGCCTTAGTAGGAAGCTCAATCAGAAGTGAAGTAGCTGGGCCGGCACTTGAACCAGCACTCTAACATGGGACACTGGCTTTACAAGCAGTGGGTTAACCCACTGTGCCACAACATAGGGCCCCTGTGTCATTTTCTTACTTTCATTGTGTACTTAAGTGGGATACCCTTATGATAAAATTGAATAACAATACATTTATCTTGGAAATTAACTTTTGGTTTTTTAAATTTTAATTAACAGTAAAGGAGCCTTATTAATGAGTTAAATAGTAGTGGTTTTTTGTTTTGTTTTAAGATTATTTGTTTATTTGAAAGAGTTACAGAGAGAGATCTTGCATCCACTGGTTCACTCCCCAAGTGGATGCAACAGCCAGGACTGAGCCAGGCCAAAGCCAGAAGCTTTATCTAGGTCTCCCATCTGGGTGGCAAGCGCCCAAGTGCTTGGGCTATCTTTCACTGCTTTTCCCAGGCCTTATCAGGGAGCTAGATCAGAAGTGTGGAATAGCTGGAATTGAATCATGTGCCCATATGGGATGCTGGTGCAGTGGCTTTACCTGCTATACCACAATGCCCACCCCTAATTTATTTATTTATTATTTTTTAAGGGTGGTTGTCTAAAAGTTGAGGACTGGAGAAAACTTCAAATCAATAGAATCCTCTGTAATTTCCCGGTTTTAAAAATAAGGAGGCCGATAATTTAAAATCTACTTTAGAAAAGATTTATTTATTTGGAAGAATTACCTGAGACAGAGGGAGAGGCAGAGAGAGATTTTCCATCCCCTGGTTCACTCCCGAAATGGCTACAACAGCCAGGGCTGGGCCATGCTTAAGGCAGGAGCCTGGAGCTTCATCCAGGTCTCCCACCTGGGTGGCGGGGGCCCAGGAACTTGGGCCATCTTCTGCTTCCCCAGGCACATTAGCAGGAAGTTGAAATGGAAGTGAAGTAGCTGGGATGCTGGCACTGTGTCACAGCACCAGTCCGTAAAAATCCACTTTTTAAAAGAATTGTAGAATAGGGCTGGGGTTATGATCAGGGAGGCCAGAGCTCTCAACATGGGCCATTTGGTTAAGTCATACAGCAGGTGTTGTGCTGTGATCTGAGAGAGGGAAGGCCTCTGATTTCATGGAGTGTTTGGGCAGTAAACGGTTAACAAATCGATAAAGCCCAAGATAGACAACGGTGACTTACGCTAAGAAATAAAATTGAGTACCATGACTAGCATGGGTCAGGCTTCTTCCAGCATGTGTGGTTCCTTAGGGGGATTGATCTCTAGTTGGAACCAGGCCCCTGGAGCAGTGCGGAGGAGGTTCGAGACAGGAGTGTTTGCTGCCATGGGAAGCAGCAGCTATGGGTAGCAGAGGAGTGGAGTGAGAGTAATCAGAGATGAAGAAGATAGTTAACTGAGAACAGGACACCGGCTGCTGTAGTCTGCATTTGAAAAGAAGGCACTGAAACATTCTAAGTGAACCACAGTGATCACTCTTTGTGGAGAGCAGTTTTAGGGTCAAGAGTAGAAACCAGTGCTTTAGCAGAAAAGAAAATTTGGTTGATGGAAAGTGAACACATTTCTTTGAAACAACAAAACCTGTGCCTTAAATGGGGTAAATTTCTTAGTTTCAATCAGTGTTCTTTGGTTATGTGATTTGTTAATGTAAAGGGAAGCAAACTGAAACCGATCTGGCAACTCTTCTGGAAGTTTGAGTTTGTGTCAACTTTAAAATAACTTAAACAGTGGTAAACCATTTTATGCCTTGAATGAACTGTTAAAAGTTCTTGATTTAGGTATAGTACCAGGAGTGCATAATACAGAAAAAGGAAAAACTAGGTTCTTTGAGTTGACTTGAGACAAAAATTCTTTCCTTGGAGCCCAGCTCTGGGCTGGAGTCCAGCAATTTCTGTATGGTGTTTATCCCTAAAGCCCTGCTGATGTTTCTCTTGCTCATTGATATATGGCATGGACAGAAGTTCATGTCATTTCCTTTAATAAGTTCAGTCTTTGTAGTAAATATTCAGTGAAATACTGTCAACCTTCGCGCCTTGTTTTTATTCCCAGCAACATCTCGAATCAGCGATGCACACTTAGCAGACACAATGATTGGCAAAGCAGTGGAGCATATGTTTGAGACCGAGGACGGCTCTAAGGATGAGTGGAGGGGGATGGTCTTAGCACGGGCGCCTGTCATGAACACGTGGTTTTACATCACCTATGAGAAAGACCCTGTGCTGTACATGTACCAGCTCCTAGATGATTACAAAGAAGGCGACCTTCGCATCATGCCTGATTCTAGTAAGTATATATTAGTAACAGTAATTTTGATTACAAAGGAATTTGGATTTCACAACAAGATAATTTGATTATTTTGCCAGGTACATTTTAAAATTAATATATGATACTTTAGTCATACCATGTGGATTGTGAAAGTTTTCACCCGCTTGTCATGAATTTTAGGTAAGAAAATGTTAGATGGTTAGTTCTGCTCAACACCTATAATAAAATAAAGGCTGCTTAAAAATTATCAGTACTGTGTATTACTTATTTTTATTATTTAAAAATACTTGAAGGTGTGAGAATCAGTATTATAATTCTGTGTGTTTTCTGCTCTACTTTAATAGCTACTACCTTATTGCCCATCTTGTTTATCTACTCTTTCCCCAGTGAATTATTTTGAAATGAATCCTAGAATTGGATTATTTTATCTGTAAATATTTGAACTTTAAAGAATACTGATTTCAGAAAACATTGGTTGGGGAACCTTTAAGTGGAAACTAGATTATAAGGTCAATATTTATACAAACTAGTTATTTCTACAGGTAATTATCTTAGATAATTTAGATGCATATGGACAAGTTTGTTTCCTAGGCTAACCTCATCAAATCAATCCTGCCAGTTTTTTTTTTTTTTAAAGCTGTGCTGTGTGGTAATTTCTGTACTATTTTTCCCCCACAAAGATTTATTTATTTATTTGAAAGGTAGACTTACAGAGAGCAAAGGGGAGTGTAGGGGGTGTCTTTCACCTGCTGATTCACTGCTCAAATGGCTGCAGTGGCCAGAGGTGGTCCTATCTGAAGCCAGGAACCAGGAGCTTCCTCTAGGTCTCCCACACAGGTGCAGGGGCGCAAGACTTGGGCCATCTTCTGCTGCTTTCTTAGGCCATAGCAGAGAGCTGGATTGGAAGTAGAGCAGCTAGGACTCAAACTTGCGCCCATATCGGATGCCAGCACTGCAGATGGCAACTTTACCCTCCATGCCACAGCACCGGCATGGAAGTAACTTAAGTAGTTAAGTAAATGAAGTTAAGTAATTTAAGTAGTTAACTCACGAAGTTACTTAATCTATGTAGAGTTCCCTGTTATGGGATTTCATGTGAGTGGATTGTATAATGTGGAGTTCTTTGTGCTGGTTTCTGTCACTTAGCATGTTTTCAAGGTCCTTCCATGTTGTAGCATTACTTCATTCTGTTTAATGGCCAAATACCATTCTGTTGTATGTATGTATGTAACACATTTTGTTTATTCACTCATCCATTGATGGGCTTTTGGATTGTTTTCACCTTTTGGCTATTATGAATAATTCTGCAGTAGAATTTGTGTATAAACTTCCGTGTAGACATTTGTTTCCATTTCTTTTGGGTGCCTACCTTGAAAGGAATTGCTTAGAATCATGGTGGTATTCCAGTGTTATTTGTTAAGGGGAACTGCCAGACTAATTTTCAAAATGGCCATACTATTTCACATTCCAGCCAGCAGCGCATGGGAATTATGATTTCTCCTGTCCTCATCATCACTTGCTGTTACCTGAATTTTTCTTCTAGCCTTTCTGATAGGTGTGAAGTAGTGTTTTGTGTATTTTTTTGTGTGTGTTCCTGGTGACTGATAATGTCAAACATCTTGTCATATGCTTGTTGGCATTTGCATATCTCCTTTGGTGAAATATCTTCAGATGCATTTTTGATTGAGTTACTTGACTATTGAGTTGTGAAAATCATATTTAAGCCTTTGTTACATTTATGCTTTGCAAATATTTTATCTGTTGATTGTCTTCACTTTCTTTATGGTGTTCCTTGAAGCATAAATGTTTATAATTTTGAAGTCCAGTTTATTTAAATTTTTTCTTTGAAGAGTTTTATAGTTTCATTAACTCTCGATAGGTTTTGAGTTCTTTTTTGCTTATACTGGGAAGGCAGTGTCCAACTTCGTTCTTTTTGTGTGTGTGTATATTCAGTTGTCCACCATTTTTGAAAAGACTACTCTCTCCTCATTGAATGTCTTTGACGCTCCTGTAGAAAATCAGTTGACTGTGCATGTATAAGTGTATTTTTGATCTCAGTGCTATTTGATTTGTCTGCATGTCTATTATACCGAGGCCACACTGCATTGACTACATTTCTTTGTGGTATGTTTTGAAGTTGGGGAGTATGAGTTCATTTTCAGAATTATTTTTGGCTTTCTTGGGTCCCTTGCAATTATCTATGAATGTTAGAATTAATTTACTAATTTCTACAAAGAAATCTGAGATTCTGGATAGGGGGTTTAATGTTGAATCTGTAGATAAGTTTAAAAAGAAATACCATCCTTTTTTTTCTTTAATGATTTATTTCTTTATTTGAAAGGCAGAATTACAGAGAGAGGGAGAGACAGAGAAAGTCTTCTGTCTACTGGTTCACTCCCCAAATAGCTGTCACAGCTGGAGCTGGACCTGTCCAGAGCCAGGAGCTTCTTCTGGGTCTCCCATGTTGGTGACAGGGTCCCAAGCACTTGGGCCATCTTTCACTACTTTCCCAGACCATAGTAGAGAGCTGGGTCAAAATAGTAGCAGCCGGGACACAAAGTGGTACCCATATGGGATGTCACAGCACTGGTTCCCAAGCCTAGGCTGTTTTCCCAGGTAGTGAGATCTTTGATCTCTTTTGATGAGGTCACTTACCTGCTGCAACAAGAAAAAGAGCTTTGCATTTTTTCAGAATCTATAAGGAATTTCTTAATACAGAACCCTAACTGCCTGGCTCCATCTTTATCGCTCTACCCCACCCCATTTTCTTTTACTTTTGCTGCTGATAGTAGTGGTGGTGATTTGCTGTTTTATATGTTTTCCTAGAGTCTGTAGGGCAGTGTATTTCCCTGGGGTTCTAGAAACAGGTCCCTGGGCCATCCTGATTCCATGGCACTTGGTCTGGGGCTGGAGTTTCAGTAGCACCAATTTTCAAAGTATGAAGAATTTCTTGTATTTTGAAACTACATTTGAAAGATGATATAGAGTACACTCAAGTTGAGCGGCAGAAACATTAAGAATTTATAGAATAAAACCAATACAGGTTGAGCATCCCTCATATTAAAAGAATAGGACTAGAAATGTTTCAGATACTGGTGTTTTTCAGATTTTGAAATATTTGCGAGACTTCACTGGTTGAGCATCCTAAGTTTGAAATCTGAAGTGCTCTGAAATCTGAAACTACTTCTTGGTCGTCGTCTTTTTGTCTAAGATTATTTATTTTATTTGAAAGGCAGAGTGAGGGAGAGGGTGAGGGAGGTCTTCCATCCACTGGTTTACTCTCAAAATGGCCGCAGTGGCAAGAGCTGGGCCGATCTGAAGCCAAGAGTTTCTTCGGGGTCTCTAACGTTGGTGCAGGGCCCAAGGACTTGAGTCATCATCCGCTGCTTTCCCAAGCGACTAGCAGAGAGCTGGGTTGGAAGCGGAGCAGCTGGGACTCAAACTGGTGCCCGTATGGGATGCCAGCACTGCAGACGGTGGCTTTACCTGCTAAACCACAGCACCAGCCCCCTGAAACTTGACACTTCATGTGTCAGCACTCATAAAGTTTCAAGAGTATTGTGAATTTGGGATTTTCATGTAGGAGAAATCTAATTCATGATACTTCAGCGTTTTAAGTGTGTGACATATTCCCAGTAATCCCTGTAGGAATTGTGTTTGAAATTCTACTTCCCAAGTTACTCAAACTTTTTGGTTATTTACAGTTAATCAGGAACCAAAGGAATTCTGGGGTGTGCTTTTCAAAATTGTTCATGTTTGTAGATCATAGGTCAGTAAGCTGTTTTTGTAAGTAAAATTTTAGTAAAACACCATATCCACTCCATTTGTATTGCATCCTGTGACTGCTTTTGTGCCATAGTTGCAGAGTTGAATAGTTGGGATAGACCATGTGGCCCTCAAGCCTAAAATACTTTCTGGCCCTTTAAAAAAGTTTGCTAACTCCTGGTCTAGATAATCTTAATGGGTTTAAGATACTAATTTTTTTTCTTTAAGAAAAAAAAACTTACTGTGAGTTGATATATATCTAAAAATTGATTTTAAACTATTTTTCCTGCCCTCTTCCAATGCAGATGATTCACCTCCAGCAGAAAGGGAACCAGGAGAAGTTGTGGACAGCCTGGTAGGCAAACAAGTGGAATATGCCAAAGAAGATGGCTCAAAAAGGACTGGCATGGTCATCCATCAAGTAGAAGCCAAACCATCTGTCTATTTCATCAAGTTTGATGATGATTTCCATATTTATGTCTACGATTTGGTGAAAACATCCTAGATGTCATCATGAACTTTGCCAAATTTGTGGAACTATTAAATGTATAATTTGTAGACATAAAGACTTGATTGCTTTCCGGTTTAATGAAAGCTTAAATGTCCCTGCGAACCCACAATCTCTGCCAGCAGAACTGGTTTTGTTCTGGATAGTACAGATTGTTGTGAACACAAAGCATTTTGTGTAAAGAGAACTCCTCCCTCTTAGAAGCAGTCTGTGTGGAGAGGAGTTACGGGCAAGTTTGGTAAAAGTTAAGCTAGCATCATAGTCATTTAAACCCATAATTGATCTCCGTCATTTCCTCTTCACTATAACACTCTCTCTGCTGCCACAATGCAAGTATAGTTTGGTATTTTTGTTATTGCCTTTTTTTGAGATATATGTATCTATACCTACCTGTCTATATCTTATATCTGTGTGCATACGTATATAATATATATACACACACAGAGAGAGATACAAGTGTACACACACACCATTGGCAGTCCTTTCTCTGTGGATTGGGATGGGGGTGACATAATTTTCTCCAGTTTAACAGGAGTGCTTAACCCAAGTCAGTCATATTTATGATATTACTGTTCTTTATTTAAAATTAAATTTGGGTACAGGAAGCACATAAGAACATTCAGCTTATTTTGAAAGTCAGAAGTTCAGAGCACCTTTTCAATCTGGAGACTTGAAAACAGTAAGTCCAAAGAGGAGCTATATGTGAACAGTTAATGACCCACCTTAGAATTTCACAAACTGGTGAGAAATCTAGGTAAAAGGCTGCCCTTGATTCTAAACTTTGTAAATTTTTTGTTTACATTTTAATTCTAAATGCTTTTAGGAAAACCCAGGTCCTTGGTTCATACAGCATTATTACCATATAGGTGTGTTTTGGACAGCACATTTGGTCCATTATTTGTACAAATCAGGAATTTGGATTTTAGTTGGTAGATTTGAAAGGCAACATCCATTGGTGGCTTGTGTGCACGTGGTAAGTTCATGGGAGAACACAGTGCTTTTATATTAGAAATGTAAGTTTTAAAAATGGAGTTGCCTTCTAATAAGTTCTCTGAGACTTTTTAATTTTTGTCACTATTATTGCTCATATGATTATGGTCAGAGGCCTCTTTCCCTTTGCCCCTTACTCTTCCTCATGAAGAATGTTGGACAAATAACAGCTTAATCTTAACACTTATTGCGGTGGTGTAGTTTTTGCTCCAGGTGTGCTATTTCTGTGGATCTGTTCCCTTTCTTGACCCCAAAGGATTGCAGAGCAGGTATGTTTCACCTTAGAAGGACCATTCATCACATTTGCTGGGTATGTGAAAGCAGCCCTTAACTAGAGTTCTTTTGTGGTTTGTCCCTACAAGGTCATTTAAGTTGAAATAGAACTGCAACTGTGGTTGGTTCACCAGTTGAATGGCTGGTCACTTTGTTCTGGAGGAACCCTGGTGGTTTCACAGCCAGGAGAAGGGCCAATTGTGAAACCAGTCTCATTTGGAGATTGTGAATCTTGCTGCAATTTGGGCAGAATCTGAGGGTGCATGCTGTCAGTCAAACCCAAGGTTTGAGTCAGTCTGCACGACCTCTGTTGTGGCCATTCCTGTTAAGAGATGGTGTGATTTCAAGGCCTCGCTGTGCATGGTTTCCTTGATGCCTGTTTTAACCTTCCTGAAGGCTTCTGCCTGGTGCTGTTGGATGGAAACCACTGCTCCCCTTCCTGTAGTCAGTGCCTCAGTCCCTGTCAGCAACCAATCCCTGTACGCAGGGCTCCACCACAGGCAGCCAGGGCCAAACTTCTCAAAGCAGCGTGATCCCCAAGTCATAGATGCTTCTTGTGTGTGAATAGTGTCGTTCTACAGCTCTGCTTTGTGTTTTCCTGTGACTCTTAGGAGTCCTGTGTGTCAGTCTCCAAGCTGAGCCTGGCTCCTAGAGCCCACATTGATACGTGTCGCATCAGAGTCACAAGTGTGAACAGCACGCATGCAGGCGGGGTGCAGACCAGGCCATGGTGACTTTGGGCTGGAAAATGAATTTTCACTGTGAAGCATCCTGAGGGTTGGGTCAGTTGAAACATTTCTAGCATTACCTGATGACTTGCATTGTGGTTTTTCTGCAAGTAACTTTAGTGACTTTAATACACCCATGATTTCCCAGTCTCCAGAAGAATGCAAAGGACAGTGAGAACATCGATGATGACGATTATGTTTAAATCATTGTTCTGTTGATTGCCTTTAAGGCTGAGGGAAGGGGAAGGGTTTTTGTTATTTTTCCATTTCCCCCCATTTTTTCCTTATTTCGGTGGCTTGCCACCACACCTAATGACGCTGTGACTGATTCTGCTCCCAAGCCCGTGTATCTTGGGCTTCGTTTTAGGCTCATGTTTCGGATCTGCATGCATTGCTTGCATTTTTCTGGTATCTGAATGTTGGTTCCTTGTTCTAGGAATTCAACATTAATTTCCAAAATTATCATGGGACTTGTGACAACACAAGACATGAAGCTATGTATAAAATTTATTGGCCTTTCTCATTTACCTGCTCTAGTATTATTGTATTGTGTGTGTGTGTGTGCGTGTGTGTGATGTCAGGCTGCCATGTAAAACTTCAGAGAAAAATCTTGAAAGACCATCCTTTTTTGCATGCTCTATTCTAAGTAGGATGTTCAATGTAACTAACTAAAATTGCATGGTGACGATACTTAGGTTTTTTGTTTTCTTTCTTTTTGTTTTCTTTCAGTTTCCTGTATATTTGCTTACTGTGCTGTTGTAGTGGTCGTAGGATAAAAATGCACTGGTGAAGCAAGTGTCGTGCCAACCGAGGTGACTTTCCAGTTGTGTGTGTCATGCAGCATTTGAAGGGACTGTGCATTCTTGAAAATCACGGTTACTTCTCAACCAGATTTCTTTTCTTTTCTTGTTTTATGTGCCAAACCCCGAAGTGCATTGGGATTGAATCTCTGAACACTATAGACCCATGAGAAGACTGTTCTGATTGTCACAAATTGTAGTGCCTGAAAACATTCTTAAGCTGATTGTCTTAAAAAAAAAAAGGCTCCAAAGACAAAACAGGAACAATTATAACAAAATAATTATGGTCAAAACGTCTGTGGTTCCTTGGAAATGCTGCGCTCTTTGTATTTGCCACCATTAGTGCAGTGGAATGAATGTGCATAGGTCAGAGGTCTTCGTGTTCACATTTTAAAATTAGGTAATGACCTCATCTTTTGAGCTTGAATTCATTTTTTAATTTTGATTTTATTTTATACAATGTGTAGACAGTCCCCTGTTCTCTGCATTTAGAAGTATACACAATATAAATCTGTTAATTCTGTAAGTAATTTTTATAATTATGATGTAACTCTATCCTATCCTTAAAACATTTAAAAATAAACCCTTTATGTGCAACTTCTGACTGTAAATTTTGTACTCATGAGCAAAATGTGATGTGTTAACGTGCTTCTGAGAAAAAGCTTTTAAGCCAGGTAACCTCTTCAGCACATGTAAAATGTCAGGTATGCATAGGAACAAAAGGAAATAGAAGTATTTGAATGATACCATTTAATAACTGAAAAGTGAGGGACCAGTAATCAGTATCCCAAATATACTATTAAGATTTTGTGATTTGACATTGATGAAACTTCTTAATTTATCCTAAGATTTTAAACTTAATTGTTTTAAAAAGAATTAAATGTGTATTTTATACTTTCACATTTATTTTTGCTTTGAATATTGCTTATAATAGCCATAGTCATAGCTAAATATCAGTGAGTAAAATTCTGAAGCAAAAAGTCTGTTTCTCAAGCTGAGGATAAAGAAGTTAAGGTAATATTAACGCCTATGTGTGTTCTATGTTTTGTCTTCCTTAGTAATTTTTAATCAGATTCTTTTTCTGTTTGTTTTGTTTTCCTGTTCACTTTGGCCAAAGGATCTAATGTTTAAGACCAAGATAGGAAAGGTCACCCCTCTAGTTGTTTTACTTGGTGACAGATAAATGCAGCTCTGGGCTCAGGTCACCTGGCTTCCAGGCTTGTGTTGGTTCAGCTGTGTAGGATGGGCTGGTCACTCCCTAGGCTGAGGGCAGGGCGCGCCCCAGCTCTAGAGGAGGAAGACTGCACTGTGCAGGAAGGAGTGAGCGGTTGGGAGGTAGGGAGGTGCAGCTGCTCAGCCCCATCTAGCTTTCATAGCCTTCCTTGCTGAAGGTGCCTTAGTCACTGTTTGGTATTGCTGGAAGGCAGATGTGTTCTCTGCAAAATAACAAAGCAAGTCCAGTGTAGAGATTGAAGGCTGGTGACTGGTAACATCTGTTGGAGGGAGGGGATTTCTGTTCATTGTTTTTCTTAGTGAGGAGAGGCTCTGCAGTGATTAAAAAGGATTTGCCACTAGTGAAACATTGACAAGTGCTTAGTAAGTTCCTTGGGACCACTTCCCATGCATTGTTTCATTTCATTCTTACAGTCCTGTAAGGAAGGCACCACTCTTCTCCCTGTTCCTGGGAAGAGGAGAGGGACGGGGCTAGCGGAGACTCTGAACCTCTGTTGTATGCCCAGGCTCCAAGCTGTCTTATTAACTGCCTCAGAATTGAATTACGTCAGCAGAGTGATTTGAATCATCTGTGAGTATAGTGTCATATTTTCTGTGAATAGTGTTTTTGCAATGGTTTCATACATTGGTAACAAATGGGTTTTATTTCCAGGTAGCCCAGTAAGAGGTTTTAGTCACTAGATTGTAGGCTTCTGTGTGTCTGTATCCTAAGAATTAGAGCCCAAATTTATCTTTTTGCCAGAAAAATAAATACCTTTAATTTTGGAGAGAAAGTATACCAAGGACAATTAAATAATTTAATTTCCTATCACAAGAATGTAGAAAGTTTATACTCCAATGATACTTTTAATATGTCATGAAATTAGTATCTTAATGAAAAACCTGAGTTTGTTTTTGCTCATAGTTTACAATCTTCATGCTCAGTCCTTCCAGTCTGCAGGTTCTGCATCCCAGGATTCAACCAGCTGTAGATCAAAATTGCTTTGCACGTACACACCTTTTTTCCTTATTTTTCTCCCTAAAAATATATATAAGAACTGTGTGTGCAGTATTCACATTTTATCAGTGTAAGGAAGTATACAGGGGATGTGTGCTTGATTATATGCAGTCATTTTATATAAAGGACTTGGGCATCTGTGGGTTTTGTTATCCACAGGTGTCTTGAAACCAACTCCCCATGCATACTGAGGACCAACTGTGATTTATTTGTCCTGTGTTATGTAATTAATTGTGAGGTGTTGTTAGTCTGTGGTTTCAGAGAAATAGCTGAGTCTTTAAATTATTTCTCTAGAAATTCCTAGATAGTCTGCCTTTGCCCTCATATTGACTAAACTGATTTTGCTAAACCAAGCAGGTTTATCAAAACCTTGCACGTTTACCCAGAAGTGACATTGACATTCTCTCTGCATAAAGTGAGGGCACTGTGCAATGGGCAGTTTCTGGGTCCCTGCCAGCCCTGAGGTTGGTGACACACAAAGCCCCACTCTATTTTTTTTTATTTGAGAGGTAGACTTTTGTATGGAGAGAGACAGAAAGGAGAAAGGTCTTCCATCTAGTGATTCATTCCCCAAATGGCAGCAACAGATGGAGTTGAGTTGATCTGAAGCCAGGAACTACTAGTCTCCAATGTAGGTGCAGGGACCCAAAAACTTGGGCTTTTGCTGCTGCTTTCCAAGGCGCACTAGCGGAGAGCTGGATCAGAAGTGGAGTAGCCGCAACTCAACGGGTGCCCATATGGGATGCTGGTGCTGCAGGTGACAGATTAACTGGCTACACACTGGCTCCAGGGCTTGTTTCTTTTTTTTTTTTTTTCCTTTTCCTGGAGTACTGTGTGATCCTTATTCCATGACAGTCTTCAGCTCAACACAAATGTATCTTTACATAGGGTGGCAAATTGTACAAAGAAATAAAATGTTTTTTGTAAAATCTGATCAAAACACTGATTTCCCCCGCCCTCAGCACCTCCAGGAAAGGAGACAGAATGGAGGGGTGAGGGCAGGGCAGAGCAGAGGCGACCTCCCTGCAAGGCTTGTTTCTTAATCTAAACCTGATTTGTCACATTAGGAAAGATGAAACTCTCATTTTGAGGAGAGTCCTGCAGCGGAGAGAGGCATGCAAGCTTGTTTGAGGTGTGCAGTCTGCACCCTGCCTTGTGTCAGGCTGGATCTAGCCTCTGGACAGCCAACAGGGGTGGACATCATTGAGAGAGGTGACACCAGTCATGAAATTAAGCCCATGGTCTGTGGACAAATTCACGTCCCATTACTCAGGTGACCATTAGTTCATTAAAACCCATTAAACACGTCATCACTGGCCTTTGCCTGAGTGGTAATGACATTTTTCAGAAGGGTCCTGCTCTGGTTGAATACGTAGATGGTGTTTCTGGGACTGTCCCCTGCGTATCATCTGAACAAGTATTTGCCGTCGTAACAGCACTGCAGGTGCAGCCTGTGGGCTCGGGCCACAGAAATGTGGAGGCTATGTTTTTTCCTGAGGCCCCTCTTTCTTCTTGGCATGTTGACAGTGTCTCATGTCATCGCAATGTAGCCCCTCTGTAGGTGGGTGTCCAGTCATCTCCTTAGGAGGATGCCAGTCAGTTTATGTTTGGCCCACCCTAAGGACCTGATATTATTTAATCACCTCTTTAAAAGCCCTATCTCCAGATAGCTAGGGAATTGAATTGTTTTGTTTTTGTTGCAAAAGTTTGAAAACCATTCCGTTTTTCTCATGCATTTCTCATGAACTTCAAATATGCACAAATCTAATTTTTGCACCAAAATAAACTTTTAAAAAAATTACCAAGATAGAGGGAGAGACAGAGAGCTTCCATTTGCTGGTTCACTCCCCAGATAGCTGCATCAGCCATGTGTGGTCCAGACCAAAGCCAGGAATGTCTTCCAGATTATCCATGTGGGTGCAGAGACCCAAATACTTGGGTCATCTTCCACTGGTTTTTCCAGGCCATTAGTGGGGGACTGGATTGGAGGTGGTGCAGTCAGGACTTGAATGGCGTCCATATGCAACTTAAGTGTTGCAGATAGCCGCTTTGTTGGCTACACCACAGTGCTGGCCCCACCAAGATAAAACTTTTTTTTTTTTTTTTAAGGATTTATTTACTTATTTGGAATGCAGGCAGAGTTACAGAGAGGCAGCGAGAGAAGTCTTCCATTTGCTGGTTCACTCCCCAGATGGCCCCAGCTGCCAGAGTTGGACTGGTCCGAAGCCAGGAGCCAGGAGCTTCTTTCAGGTCTCCCACATGGGTGCAGGGGCCCAGGCCACAGCAGAGAGCTGGATTGGAAGTGGAGCAGCCAGGACTCAAACCAGCACCCATATGGGATGCTGGCCCTATGTCTTTACCTGCTATGCCACAGTGCCAACCCCCAAGATAAACTTTAACACAGTTTTTCCATGAGCTTTTTGAAATATCTTTGAACAGTCAAATTCTGGGGGATACTAGGGAGTTAGGGCTTAGATGTTTAACTTTGTGGATAGGACACAATTCAACCCGTAATGCCGAATTAAAATTCAGTTGGTTTTTCTTATTAAGAAATCCTATTGTGAAGGCATTTGGGGTAGAGACTATTTGTAATAGCAGTCATAATCTGTTTGCATGTAAAAGGGATGGATCAAATGTTCTCAAAAGAACATTGAAAGAAGAGTCAAATAACCAAGTTTTAGTTTCTGGCTAACCCAGGAAAATCACTTAGCCTCCAGACTTGTTTTTCTAGACTGCAAAACAGGGCTTCTCCATGCGGGTGCACCCTGTGAGCACTGCAGGACCCCACCCAAGTCCTCTGGAAGAGGGCAGGTCACTCTTGCAGGGCCTCGTGAGTTTTGCTTTGAGTCTTGTTTTTTGTTGTTTGTTTTTAATCATTGAAATCTCACTTTAATTCTGCACCATCTTATTTCTCTTATAACATCAGTGAGGATGATTTCACTTTTTTTTTTTTTTTTTACATATTTTAGGTACAGTAGCACCTTTCAGTATGCGTAAGGTTTGTTGTAATAAGCGTGCTTAAAGTTCAGTGGGCTTGGTAGTGACCAGCAAGTAGACTGACTTCAGCTTTCGATGAGTGAAGTCACGCTTCATATTTTGTTTGAGTTGTCACGATGCTCGTGAACACAGACTGTGTGCTCAGTGCTGGAGTTTGCAGTGTCTGCTCGTGGTCAGATGAGCAGATTTAGCAGCAGGTCCGCTTCCAGGACTTGCTCTGCGGAGAGGAGAGCATCGTTCCCTGAAGAGCAGCCGCGCCCTCCATCCTTGTTTCCACCTGCAGGTGGAGCACCTTCCAGGCAACGCGTATTCAGTGACAGCCTTTTCCTTTTTTTTTTTTTTTAAGATATATTTGTTTTCCTGTAGTTTTTACA